AGTTTTTACTGGGATTTTTCAGGGCCTTATAGGCCAGGGTCTCACTATATAGTTCAGACTGGCCTTGAACTCACTATGTAGCCCAAGCTGGCCTTGGACTTGGAGCATTTGTCCTCAGCCTCCCAAATGCTGAGATTACAATTATGTGCCACCATACCTGGCCATACTTGATTATCTTGTTTATGGTCTTTTCTTCCAAACTGGAATGCAAAGCACCATGAAGATGATTTTCTTCACTGCTGTAACTTAGAGCTTAATCCAGTGGTGGCAAACTTATGGCATGTGTGTTATGTTTTTCTTTTAAGATGAAAGATGTTAATGTATGAGTTGTCTTTCTAAACTAAAACCTCTCTCTGCAGGTTTAATTGCAGTGTTAGCACTGTGTGATAATTAAGTGGGTTTGGCACTCATCTCTAGAAGTTTCACCATCACTGACCTAGAGAACTCTAGTGCATAGTAAATAACTGTTCAATGACTAAGTGAAAGAATAAGTAAACAATAGCCCCCACTTCAGCTGTAAAATGTTTAAACTGAAGTGGTTCAAACAATTTAGTATCTAGAAGGAACACATGAAGATAAGACTAATGGAATAATTAACCTTTGCAGGGTACAAAGGGAAACATAGCTATTGCAATTGGTGTTTAAGAAGGCAAGAAAAAAGACTTGGTAGAGAATGAGAATGGAATTCCAAGTGAAGGCTGTTTCACACAAAAACAATTCAGACAATACAAGATGTATTCATTCATCACAGGATATAGCCATGAACAAGCCCAAGCCAGAAAAAAAAGTTCCTGCCCCCAGGGAGCTTACATTCTAGTGGTCATAATGTCAGGCATTCTGATGTTGGACACCAACAGAACAAACAGCAGGAAGTTACCATAGGTTCTTGATTAGGAAGAGCCTCAATTATAGAAGATCCTACGGCTACGTGAAGAGTAGATTCTGTTAAGGAGAGAACTAGGAAGGGCAGGATCTCTAGAAAGGGCTATTATGGAAGATCAGATATAAAATATGGGTGATAGGAACAGGTGGGGAGTGGATATCAATGTATGTATGAAGAAGTAGGTCTAGGGCCCTGGGATAAAGCAATGAGAAAGGACCTTAAAGTCCCTGAATATGAAAACCACCTGGATATGTGTCCTTTGATGGAACTGAAGGAAGGTGGCAGAGATAGGAGGGAAATTTTGACTCTCAGAGTTGGGCAAATGGCAAGTTCAAATTGGGACCCATCCAACTGAGTTTCAGGGCTTGTTCTAGACTATATTAAATACAGGAGGGACCATGACACTCTTCTGATGTTTGTTCACCAGCACTTGTTCACACATGCTGTTTTGTTCTGTATGTGGCAGGCCAAGATTAGTACTGATATGACCCCTCAAAAATTGGAACAAATTTGAATCTAGTCATTTGCACTGGATTTAGACCACAAAATTTTCGTTGTTTTTGCCTGAAATTACTAACCTCTGTCAATACCCCAAAGATGTTTATTAATGGATTAATGTATCATGATAGTATAGTTTTGCTGTCATAAAATAGAGATGGAATTTTCCTGTACAAAAGGATTTTTACTAAGGACACAATAAAATATTTTTAATTTTCACTTTAGTAAGATTTTAACAACACATATGGATAGCTGTTTCTCTAAGAATTAAAAGGATGAATGACTAGTTTCTCATTCTTTATTGCTGAGTAGTACTCCATTTTATAGAAAAACCACACCTTCTTTATCCAGTTTCCAACTGATGGGCAATTGGGCTGTTTCCAAGTTTTCTATTACACATCTGAGTAGTACTCCATTTTATAGAAAAACCACACCTTCTTTATCCAGTTTCCAACTGATGGGCAATTGGGCTGTTTCCAAGTTTTAGCTATTACAAACTGGGCCACTATAAACATGGGTGTGCATATGTCAAGGACGAGTGGTGTGTGTGGGTGCATATGTTTCTGACCTGATTGCCTTGAAATCAGTCTGTGTTTTCTTAAAGCTTGAATTTCTTTCAGTTTTGTCTGTCAGGTTATTACCTGACTCTCTCACTTTTCACGGGAGAAAAATGAAAAGAGATGGAAGCTTTGAATTCTCTAGTATAGTGAGCTAAATCAAAAGGGAAAATGACCCCACACTTTGCCATTGGATGCTTTTAGTCAAGTTGTGTCTTAAACGGTGTTTTTGTTTGTTTATTTGTTTGTTTTGAGGTACCATTTTACATTGTATGATAGAAACCACATTTCTGTTACCTGTAAGTCAGATGAAAAGCATTTTGGGGGAAGATAGTCAATGTAAATTTTCCATAATAGAACTTGCCTGCAGTAGTTACAGGATCTGAAAGATTTCTGCGCAGTCTGAAAGGTGGCAGTAATTTAAGTGGTTCCTCTTCTTTTGTGTCTGCTGCAATGTTGTAGCTCAAACCCAGGACTCCTGCATGCTAGGCAAGCACTCTACCACTGAGCTACACCCCCACATTAGTGGTTCCCTTTGTATGAACTCGTTTTGAATACATCAGTCTAGACCTCCACATCTAGCACCACTTCTTAAGAAGAGTCTGGCTTCCTCTATATAAGCAGGGCTTTGGGAAACTGCCTACCATATAGTCCATGAAAGACATAGTATTCTCTGCATGATCTAGTTGGTCACCTGAAAAATCAAACTTAGCCTTTTTTTGGTAATAAAGATTTTAAAAAATTGTATATAGACTTTCCTAAAGTTTTTCCTTAACTTCATTTGTCATTTCTTTAATAAGAATATGATGAAAGTGTGGGTTCAGCTGTTCTGTAATAAAAAAAGAAGTTAGCAAGTATTCTTATTAGGCAAAGGAAGTAAAAGTAATAGTTATGGTTATGTTATGTTGGCTCCCATCTAGAGCTTTTGCAGTTTTCTGTTCCCTTGTGCTGGAATGTTCTTACTCCGTCTCACAGCTATTTTCCTGTTATTTGGGTCTCAGGTCAAATGTTAACTTCTCAGCGATGTTTTCTCAACCCTCAATCCCTCCCCCTCCCCACATCTGCTACATTACTTTATCATTTTCCTTTGTTTGAATTTCTTCTTAAATACATTGTGACCTGTAATCACTTGTTTACACGCTCCTTCTCTGGTTTAGATATCTTCTAAGTAGACTGTATACTTCAAAGAGCAGAGATTGTATCAGTCTTTCTTACTGTAGTAATTTGGATGCTAAGAGTAATGCTTATGTAGACATGGAAGGAAAATGAGATAACAAACTTGTCATTTATGAAAATAAAAGTAGTAAATAAATATACCTTTAAAATGTTCATCCAAAACACATGCTTGTTAGAAGTGTGTTTGTCAACATCAGAACTTTGGTAACCGAGATGGGGAATTTTAGGGTTATTGTTTTTCCAGATTGGATAGCGCTAGCATCAAAGAAGACATTTTTGCTACACTCATTGTACCTGAATGTTTTAGCTTCAAGTAATTAAAATCCGGTTTCAAAATATAAGTTTTATGGGCGAATAGGCTCAGAGTTGGTGACTTAGTAGCTCAAAGTGCCAGCAAAGATTCAGGTTCTCTCCATCTGTATCACTAGATACTGGCCAAGAAGGACAATTAGAAGAATAGAGAATGTATCTTTTTTTCTCCTAGTCCTGCCCCCAGCAGACTTTCTCCAGGTTCTCTCAGGCCCTAATTAGGTAGGTACCCATTGTGGAACCAATTGCTAGGGAGGGAATGAGATTACACAGACTGATCAGGACCATGCTTGAGCTTGGGAGAGAGGAAAGTATCTGAACAAAATGGAGGCTGTTGTGTGAAGGAAGAAGGCAAATATACTGTCTGTATATCTCATTTACTGTTCCTTGTTTGCAAGCAATAGATAATGGTGTTGCTAAAACTTTTCATCCTAGATTTTGCACTGTTTGATACATAAACATTGGTTCAAGATTCTGTGAATTGGTGAAGTCTGGAAACACACAGTTATAGTTCTTTGGATAAAGTCCAAGATTCTGCTCAAGAGCATGAGGAGGGATTCCCAGTGCAGTGCCTAGCTAGCCACTTCTCACCAAGAGGGAGAGAGGAAGAAAAGACCTAGATTGCTCTTTTAGTTGTCTTGGTCCCACCTCTGTCCTTAGATAAGTGTAAATTTCTGAAAGACAAGCCTCAACCCATGTACTTCTTTATTACATTAGCCTATTCTTCTTTCTCAAAACCCAAGAGAAAATCTAAGGATAATTTGGGAAGTTGAGTGAGGAAGAAATTGAGTTATCAGAATGGAGGGAGTGGTGCAGCCATTTGATTTCCTGTTCACTTCTTCTATATCTGTTTAAATCCAATTGAAGTAACTTTTATGCACTTCTTCTACTGGAGTTTTTAAAATGTTCCTTGACAAGGTGAAAATAAGAACAGGATAATGTGATAGTCTAAAATATTTAAAACTCCTCAGCCTCTAGGCTATTACCAATTGCATACCACATAAAGGTAGTTGAAATATGAAGGATATGTTAAACCAGGAAATGTCACAGAGTGGTGGAATTTGATGTTTGATTGTATATACTTAGTACTTTTTAATAAACATTTTGCGGTAAATTTTTAAAATGAGGTCTAATTATGTTATTTTTGTTTTGTTTTAGTGTATTTTGATATACACATATTATCTACTAAACTACCAATTTGAGATTTTTCTGATCATTCCAAATCTGATCAGTGTCCTAGTTTTGTCTGTGTTTCCTTCTATAACCAATAATCTGGCCCTCATCACAATACAGACAGGTCCATTTGTTCTTGAATTATTTCCCAATTATTTTGAAAGTGCTTCATGGATAAAGACACACTTAAAAAAAAAAATGTCTAGTGTCTTCTGGGCCAGGGATTTAGCTCAGTGGTGCCACCACCTTGCCTTGAAAGTGCAGGGTCCTAAATTCAATCTCCAGTACCAAAAAAAAAGTGTCTAATGTCTCTAGATGGCCATCACAAGACTAGACAGAAAGAGGAGGAAAATCATTGTTCGTTGGTTTCTTGTTAATATTTTCTCTTATGATTTTGGTTTTAGATTCGAATGTGAAAAGATTTTGCTCCCAAAATATCCTGGCAATCCTTGGTTTCTCCTCTATCATTGCTGTGATAGCTTTGATCGCTGTGGGGCTGACCCAGAACAAACCATTGCCAGAAAATTTTAAGGCAAGTGAAATCATGTGTGTCTGTGTGTGTATATGTGTGTAACAGAAGGGCCTGGATAGGATGAGAAAGGAAGGACTCTGGTAAATTATACAGGGGACTGAGCTTCTAGAAGCCCAGGAACAAGTATTGACTTGTTCCTATTGGATGAGGGGAATAAAATGAAATCAGATGCTCTTTCTAGAAGAAGAAATGTCTTGAATTAATTAGTGGTGTTAAGATAATTGTCTTCATGATTATTCAGTAAATTTAAGTCAATACTCTATTAATAGAGATAAATGCTGTATTTACCTTGTCAAGGCCTTTTTTGGACTATGCTGATATTCTGTGATCTAGTACTATCTTCATACTCATTGTTTCATCACGGATGAATTACAACACTGCGTTCTTTTTTGATTTAATTATTATCACTGTTGCCAAACAATAACACATATGAAACATCTTTACATAAAGCACTTCAAAGTCAGAGATTGTGCAAAAGACATATTTCTTCTCTCCAAAAATATTAAAACAGCCAAATCAGTTAAAAAATAAGAGAACATATACATATAGCAAGTATAGCATATACATATACACATACATATACATATACATATAGCAAATATAGTTATTTGAAATGAATTCTTTCTTGGATGGATAGATTTATTGTTAAATTTCTACCTTTGAAGAGCTAATATATAAAAATCATTAAGGTCATTAACTTTATGTGACATATTCTGCTTTCTTTCCAGTTCATCCAAGTAAAATTTTAGACATGAATATCTCCCAAGTTTTTTTGTAATATGGACAGTATTTTATTTCATCGTTAATTTAAAAGCATGCAGTACATTTATAATAATTACTTTGTAAATATTCCACTGAAATGATAGTGAACAAGTCTGTATTGCACAGAGGATATGAATGTGCTGTCGAGCATGTCTATACATGTGGGCAGTGACGTACCTAAAAGTTAACCAGACCGTGGAGGTCCTAGCACACATATGTGGAAGTATATTCTCTTTTATAAAGATGGTGAACTGTAAGCCTGGAAGGATGGATGCACATGCCAGACCCAAAAAACTTTTGTCGTGCATCCAAATCATTTGTTGTATAGCAAAGGCGTGGTATTACATTGGCATCTTTTTGTTGCACGAGTCAACCCAGTGGGCCTGTGTACAGCAGCCACTTTGTCAGGATGGAAAGATGATGCCATCTAATTGGTGGTCTCTTGCCTTTTAATCTTGAGTGATGTTGGTTCTCTTGGCAAAACTTCACTCACAGTTGAAGCCTCATAACATCTTGGTTGTGCTATTTGTTTACTAGTTCCAAAAGTACATGACTGCCTTCTTGATTTGACCTTTTTGAATATTCAGTATTGCATCACTGGAGAGCAGGACTGCCTGGGGGGAAAAATCCATGGCAGACTTAAGCTCTTGTTTGCAGTGAATACTTGGGGTCATGGATGACTTCCTTCATTCACAGTGGTCTTCAAGTCTGTCATGCTTCTATGTTGTTAGGTTAGCCTAGAAAAATGGAACAAAATCTTTGTCATTCTTTAAATAAAAGGCATGTGTATGTGAAAAGCAGTCATTGGCCCAGTCAAATATAATTTCATATATAGAAACAAGCAACTTTTGAGGTTATATACTAATTTTAGTAAAGCTTGTTGCATATACTAGAGTCAAATATTGGACAATTCAGGAATAGAACATTTCCATCACTGCAGAAAGTTCTATTGGACATTGCTGCTTTGAAATATACTATGATAATATCTCTGAAATAATTCAAAAGTAAGTTGAATGAATAAGGTGTATAATTAAAACATTTTATAAAATATAAAGGAAAAATTATTTTTATTATATGATTTATAAATTAGTACCAGGGTCATCTCAAATATCATGGGTTCCTAAACTTTTTTTTTTGGTAATTATTGGAATAAATGCACAGTCATCCCTATCTGGGGAGGATTGATTATAGGAATCTCCTATGGATAACAAAATCTGTGGAAGCTCAAGTCCTTTCTATAAAGTGAAATATTTATTCATTGCATTGCCTTATATACATCCTTCCATGTACTTTAAGTTATCTCTGAATTGCTTATAATACCTAATACAATGTAAGTCCTATCTAAATAACTGTTAAGCTGTACTGTTTTGGGGACAATGACAAGAAAAAACCCATCTGTACATGACTAATACACATGCAATCTGAAATATATTTGCTCTGCAGCTGGTTGAATCTGTAGAGAGATAGAACCCATAAATATAGACCGTATTTGTTTCTGAAAATGAATGTTTTAAACATAACAGAGATATTTGCACTTGGAATGTTTGGTTTGTGCTGATTATGCAGTCTTGTTTTATTTCTCCCCAGTCAGTTTGGGTTCAGCCTTACAGGGTCAGAGCTGCGGCACATTGGACATAACACTCTAAGAATTCTTTCTTATATGGGCGTGTTTACTTGGCTAGTTATTACTAGACTATAAGTGCATTGATGACAAGAACTACGTTTCATGGGCCTTTGCACGATATTATGTATTCATTCATTTAAAGTAGTCACTGAGCATTTACTCTTCAGGGGAAAACCATATTCCTCATATAGTAGTAGGCTGGAAGTGGGCAGGTTCACTCCTGAACGTTCATTGTATTGTGTCATTCATTCACTCGTGAGAGCAGATCCTTCATGTCCTAAACATTCACATTAGGCCCCATCTTCCAGAGCTATTGCATTGGTAATTAAGTCTCTAACTCATTAGTATTGGAGGGGAAAGGCAAACCACAACACTTGGTTCATGAGGTACTTGTTGAGGAGGCATGCAGAATACCCTAAAGGTACCACTTTATATTAAAGTATCAACTTCTTTTAGGGTTTGAAGTAACTTAGGAGCCATATGCTTCCAAAGCTCCCTCTTTCATTCATTTGATTCAATAATTATCTGCTGAATTCCTTCTCTGTGCCTAAAATATAGGAGGATACACCATGGAGGATGCTGGAAATGCCATGGTAAATTACTATCTAAAGACAGGCATTAACCAAATAGCCCCTAAATATGGAATTACATCATGGGCTCAACACTATCTTTAGAGGAAAAATACAGGCATTCTGATTAGGTGAAAAAATTCTAATTTGTGGAGATAAGAGAAGGCTGGGACCTCAGGTTAAGGGCTTTCTGAGCAAAGACCTTGGAACAGAAGCCCATGTGGCCTGTGAGCAACAGCCGGCAGGCCAATGTGATAGGAGGTGTTTTCTGAATGAGGAGATTCCAACAAAACTGTTCAACATCTCATTTCTGCAAGGAAGCAGCCATCGGACACTCTAGTTTTCTCTGTATTTCCTTGTCTAAGGATTGAACTCAGGTCCTTTGCGCTTGTGAAGCAGGCAGCAGAACCACTGAGCTAAATTCCTGGCCCCTCTCAGAAGTCTTGAACTATGAATTTGGGTAGATAGGATTATTCACATCCTTGGAAGGGCCTGCCCTACCTCCAAGTGGCCTCCAGTCTCAGTGAGCTCAGGGTCCATTGCTGCCCAGATTTCCAGGTCTTCATAAGAACTGCTGCATTGGTGGCCCTGTCAGCCAAAAAGGGTAATTTCTGTTGTTCTTCTTTCTGTATCACCACTTCTGTTCCTGCAGTATAGCTCATGAAAATCACTTATAATCACTGAAATCATGTGCATGATCAAAAGCTAGGTTAGGACAAAATTGTATGCAGTAAGAATACAACTACATTTTAAAATGCACATTTAAAAAGCCTATAAGGAAATGAATAAAAGTAATAGTTTATTATTTTATTAATAATACAAATATTTATATGAAATCTTAAATGTCTTTTCCCCCTTTATTTTCTTTTCTTTAAGTACTCTTAAAATAGAAAGTAATACTGAAATAACAAGGGAATATCAAATCTTTCCCTTACAACCTAAACATTAATTTATTTCTTTGAAATAAAGGACATAGAAGGGCTTTTTAGAACTACTTTATATATGAAGTACAAAAACAGTGGGTTTCTCTGCTGCCAGACTTCACTGATTCACTAGGTAATGGACATTCTCCAAAGTTCTGGAAGATTTATTTGCTCAGATCCTTGCAGGCCTTGGACATTTTGGAATACATGTTGGAAAATAATGTGGAAAGAGAGAAAAAGTGGCTACCTGGGCTCAGGTGGACATTGTAACTATGAAAGACATGAATGCTCAAATTGAGAAATTTCAGATCATTAAGATTTATCTACATCTCAAGAAGGGATGCCAACTTTTGTCTGCAAAACATTTTAGAGAGCTGGAAATGGAACTCAGTGATAAAGCACTTGCCTGGCATGTGTGAAGCCCTTGGTTCAATTCCAGGATAGAAAACAAAAACAAAAATAACCACCCCAAAAATTGTTTGGCAGAGTTCAACAGGTTAGCCTTCCAGTGTGCTACATACACAAGAAATACCTTCAGTTTTCTCTGTTATAATGCACACTACTCACTTCATAAATAGTTGCAAACAAAACTCACTTAAAAGCTTTTATTTTATTTATACCTCACAGTATAAGGCCTTGAGGAAGCTAATAAAAACAACGCTGGTACGTTTGTTCTATCAGAGGGGTAACTTTCATGTCAACAAAGTTAGACAAAATAAAATGTCTTGATTCCAGATAAAGGGTACTTGCTGTTGCTGCCTCCTTAGTTTTTATCATATACTACTGCTGTTGGAACATTTTTTGACAAGATTTCAAGGGCTCTGATAGGGAGTAACACAAATTTCTACTGTGTAAACTTGGAGTTTCTTTCTCCACCCTGAGAGGTTTCCCATGGGGCCAAAGGCCTCAGACCTCAGTCAGCATCCCTCTCTGCCTGCAGTGGCCACCACCTAAATCATTTCTGGGTTTTCTTTCACTGCAAACCTAGCTACAAAGGAGTCTGTTCAGCTGGCTTCTTTGTTGTGCCCAGGGCTCTTTGCTTCCCAAGAGTGTACCAGTAATTACGAGAGGGACTCCCTGTTGTCATTATATGGCAGTGAACACTGGAAGTTATAGAAGGTCAAGGATCCTTTCAAGATCTGCACAGTGATACTTTCTAATCTCTCATGAAATTAAATAGTTTGATTCAAGAGCCTCTACCTTTAGCTTGCAGTGGCCCAAGGGAGTCTCTTTATCCATTCTTGTCTTTTTCTTCTGGAGATTCTTGGAAGATAATACAAGGGAATATATATTTTCCTCCATGTGACAGATCATATTTTGAGTTTCACAGCTCAAATGTGCAACAAAGAACAATATAACAAGGGTTGGCTCACATTTCAGAAGTGACTCCTCTGTTCCTTTTTCTTTGCTTCTCCAATTACTTTCTTTCCTCCTTGTTTCTCTCTTGTATAGGAATGATAAAAAGTACATGTACATATCCCCACAAGCCCATGGAAGATGTCATTAACCAACCATTGAGTTTTTCCCTGATTAAGTTCAAGGATATAACCAGAAGTGAGTATCAGTTTATCAAAATGGGCATTTGCAATCTACTCCTGGGAAGATATCCAAAGAAATGTGTTTGTTGCAACAAAGTAAAATGTACAAGAACGTTTCTGGTAGCTATAGTCTCAATAGCCCCCAAATGCAAACAAGTCAAATATTTATCAACAATAGAATGGGTGAAAACATAATGTAGAGATATAATGAAATAGCTCTACAGCAGTAGAAAAGAATGAACTATTGATACATATAGTTTGAACGCATCTTACAGACATAATGTAAGGTAGTTAGACACAGCATAGATGCATTTTATGAGTACCATTTACTGCAGTTCAGAATCAGGCAAGCCAAGCACATTATATACCTGTAATACCGACAATCTGCAAAGCTGAGGTAGAAGGATAGCAAGTAAAAGCCTAGCCCAGACAACTTAGCAATTTATGGAGAGCCTATCTCAAAATTCAAAAAGATCTTGGGATATAGACTAGTGCAAAGACCCTCACCCCAGTGCCACCCACAGGTATACACATACACACACACACCCCCCAAAACAAAAAATTCAATCATGGTCACAGAAATCAAGGCAGTAGGGCAAAATGATTGAGAATGGCATTATTAAGCCTGCTGGAGGCTAAAAAATGTTCAATGTGGTAGTTATTTGGATATGCATATATACAAAAATTCACTGAGGGCCGGGTATGGTGGTGCATGCCTGTAATCCCAGCACCTGGGAGGCTGAGGCAGGAAGATCGCTGTGAGTTTGAGACTAGGGTCAGTCTCAACTACATAGTGAGACCCTGTCTTGAAAACAAACAAACAAACAAACAAACAAAAAAAGAAATTCACAGAGGCGCACATTTAAAATCGGCACTCTTCATTATAGTTATTCTTGTTTTAATGTCCTTAAAAGGGAGCACCAATTTGAAAATTATTTCCCAGCCCTTGCTATCTGTGTTTCAGTATAAGATCTTAAGCATAAGGTCTTGAGTCTGATTCTGATTTAAATTCAGGCTTTGTCACCTATTAGCTGTGTATATTGAGTAAAGTACTTAATCTGTTGTTTGTCACATATGTAGGAAGGGTAAAACTAGTGCATACTTTATAATATTGTTTTGAGAGATTAGATCAAAGTTTCCTGTAATACCTGCCAGATATGCTTAATGCACTCATAAAATATGACAGGTTGATTTTGTTCTCTCTCTTCTGCCTATCTAGATCTTTTTTAGAAAAACCCCTTCTCCACACTTACTTTCTTCCATTAATATTTCCTAGTCCTAAAAACTGAAACACAAGTTTATATATTCTTTTAAGATGTATTAGATATAATTTAGATAGTTATATTCATAATTAAAAGCAAATGTACTTTTTCTTTGTCTCTTTTTAAAATAAAACTCCACATTCTCTACACTAAAATTAGATAAAGATGTTTTTTGTGGCTGTGTAACCGTCAGTGGATTTACTCAGTGGTTCCCAAACTATTTGCACGTTAGAACTACATGGGATCTCACAAAAATTCCCGAGATCAGGCTACATACCAAACCAATTAAATCATAACATCTGGGGGTCTGACATGGACCTGACAGTTCTTGAAGTTCTCCAGGTGACTCCAATGTGTAGACAAGTTTGAGAGCTACTGGATGAAGGCTTTCTATTCCTTCCATAGTGTGTCAGCTACTTCAGCATGTGTATCTGAATCCTGACTGCACGTTAGAATCACCTACAAAGCTTCTAAATAATTTCTCAAGCCTTGCCCTGGGTAAGGTGTGAATATTTCTAATGTGCAGCCAGCATTAAGAAATCATCTTAATGGGTATCCTTGTAACTCTTTCGATCAGGATAACTCCACCCTTCCAGCCTCCCACCCTACCCAATGTCCCTCTCAAATTAAAATACTTAAAAAAAAAACTGTACATTACCCATATGCTTTTGAAAACTCTCATCCTTTTCTCTTTCCTGTTGCAAACTGCATATGGAGAATAATGATGTGATACTGATAATTTTTTTAAATTTTGTTTTGCCCTCAGTATGGGATTGTGCTGGATGCAGGCTCTTCTCACACAAATTTGTATATCTACAAGTGGCCAGCTGAAAAGGAGAATGACACAGGGGTGGTGTATCAGATAGAAGAATGTAAATTAAAAGGTAAGATGAAGCAAGGGGAAAAGAAACATGAGAGGTGCATGGCAAGTACAAAGAAAGAAAAGAGGAAACCCTAAGAATAGGAAGTCAAATGAAGAACACAGTGAAGCTGCTGCTTTTATTTTATCAATATAAAAATCATATCATAAGTATTATTTGCATTTTTTAAAAATGAGAGTACCAACAGTGAGAAAGGCTAATACTACTTTTTAAGGGCACTAGAGCTAGTCAGTAATGGAGCTGGGCTGCAAACCAAGGCCTGCTTGACTTAAAACCCATGTCTTAGCCAGTGGTTCTTAGACTTGAAACTGCATCAGAATCACCCTGCACCCACAGAGTCGCAAGCACAGAGTTCTTGAGTCAGATCTAGGAGGAAGCCTAAGAATGTGTATCTCTAATGTGTTCCCAAGTACAACTGCTGGTGGTCCAGGGAATTGCTGCTTTCTCAATCTTTGTCCTCTAATCTACAGCTTGCAAGAAACTTTCTAAAGCCTTCGGCCTTCATGTAGCAGGAAAGACCAGATCAGAGATTCTTAGGCTAAGAAAGGGACCTAATGGATCATTTAAATCTTGTTTTCTAGAGAAGGAAGCAAAAACCTGAAAGATTAGTTCCTGGCAAGTAGTAACAGAACCAGGATAAGAATGTAGGTCTCCTAAGTACATCCCAGGCTTCCTGCTACTCTAAACCACCATGTTACATACTGATTTATTTTCTAGTCTGTTTTAAGGTTACACTCCAAGGAGGTTGTTGACAGTTTAGCTCTCTTCACTCCCTCCACCTAACCATGACTAGACATTTCTGTGTTGCACCACAATCTCTGACTGTTATCTTTCTTGGCCTTTTCAGCCAGGAATCCCGTTTATTTTCAGTCAGATAATTTATATTCCAGAAAATAATTGAATTTTAGTCTGATGGCCTGTACGGTTCTACTAATTTTTATTTGTCAACAAAGTAGCAGAGAGGAGATGTTTTCAAGAGAGAAAATCATTCTACTCAATATCCCGGTACCCTGAGACTTTGGTCCAACCAATACTGAGACAATACTTCTTACGTAGTTTACGATCCCAATCCCTCATTTTATTGGCTTCTATTTAATTCACCGCCTTCCATTTTTAAAAGTTTGGGTTTTAATCTAGCAGATGTCTTTCTTTCAAGACACATCCCATGAGTGCATGAGTGTCTAAAAAATACAGTATTTTCCCCTTTCAAAAGAAAGTTAACCAAACATTTAAGGACAGATTATCTGAATCAAAATAGCTGATAATTTAGACATGATTTTCTCCTTATATTTAAATAAACAGACTATTTAAAACCTCTGAATGATCTTTTTAAGTTATTTGAATAATTATCTTAAAAGAATACTCCTTATTAAGCACTATGTAATAGTTATTGTGAGATGAGAATGTTAACTTCAAAAACTTAGGGAATCTTGGCTCTAATCCTCTCTATAGCAACAGTGAATTCTTCTCTAAAACGGGAAAAACAATCTTACTAGAGCATCAGGGCATTGGAGTGGAAAAATCACTGAAGAGACATTGATTCTATTCCCATTTCATCTAACAAAGGAAGAAACTACCTCAGAAATTTTAGGGTACTGGCTGTGATCACATAGCTGGTTAGGAGCGGCTTCTGTCTTTTCAGAGAATCGGTGGATCTGGTGCTTATTTTCAGTTCTAAATATCATGTTTATTTAGGTCTTTTAGGAACTAATGTTATTAATTACAACTTAGTAAAAGAATTATCCAAAATAGTCAATAGTGTACCTATCTGTGAGATCCCTATATGAAGCGGAGATGTTACATAATTGAATGTGAAATTGCGCCATCTAGTGGTGAAGTTGTTGAGTACTTGTCTGGTATAGGGCTGTTTGACAGCCCAAGAGCTGAAAGTTAAATCACACCAATCAATGCTAGAAGAAAAGGTACTAAGGCGTAGGGAAAGTGGGAGGGGTAGGAGAAAGAAAAAAATATGAGATAAGAAATAAATGGGGGCAAAGCTTTTGCAAATAGGGAGGGGTGGAGGGGTTGAAGGGGAGGGCAGGGGAATGAGGAAAAAAATAAGAGCCAAGATACATCATGTATAGGTACAAGTTCCCAATGATGAATGTAAATGTATCGTATATCTAAAATGTACCAATAAAAGAAGAGAAAAAATAATGACAGAACTGAGATTGAAACCCATAAAAATGTTACCCTCAAAGAATAACAACCTAATATATAGCACATCAGAAAACTGCTTTCTTGTATTCACTCATTCTGCATCATATTTTGCTGTAATATTGTCAAGGTACGTCCTATACATTTTTTTCATCTTCTATATTTTCCTCTAGGTCCTGGAATCTCAAAATATGCTCATAAATTAAAAGATCTAGAAACATACCTGATTGAATGTATGGAAAAGTCCAAGAATGTGGTTCCAAAGTCCCTGCACCATGAGACACCTATTTACCTGGGAGCTACAGCAGGCATGCGCTTGCTCAGGTATAGCAGCATGTAGGGACCAAAAGTGGCTAAGTATTAGAAGCAGTGTAAAGACTTTTGAAGTTATAGGAGAGGGCCACATTTCCCTAACCCCTCAGATTCTACCTCTCTCAAAGTCGACATCTAAGAAAGAAAATTTCAATGTGAGTGAAACTCCAAAACTCAGAGTGTGCATACCACAGTAGTAAGATTTTAAGTATGTAAAAAAGCTTTGCCTATCTCCCCATGGGGAACTCAAGGTGAAGAGAAAAGAAAAGATTGACTCTATGTGCTTGAGAGTTGGGATACAGATGTAGTCAGTGTCTTGGCGAAGGAAGACTAGAGGAGACCCATAGATATCCCAAGACAACTAATCGCAGTTGGTACATTCTTAATTTGCCACGACTTGGTACCTGTATGCATTATTTTCTTACTTGCTCATTCATTCATTATGTCATGAATACTGCCTAGAATATTACAGTAGGTGACTCAGTCCTCAAGGAAACCAGAATTTCCATACAGGTTTATCAATTTTTTTTTCTAGAAGAATGCTTAGAGCTTCTGGGGGGGCACTTGGTGCTGCCTAGGATAAGACACTGCAGGCAGAAAGAAGTGTCAGAAGAGAGGATGGGTCAGAGGGTCAGGGAGACATGCACATGCATCTAGTAATAAACTTTTATTTGGAACTTATTCTGTGTTAGGCACTGTTTTGAGTGCTAAGATTATAGCACAGAACAGGACAAAGTTCCTGACTTCCTAGAGTTTGCATTCTAATGGATATGCAAAGGCCAGAAAATGCAGGAAATGAGGATGCAGTCAGAAGACTGAATACCTACATAGATAGAAGATAAGGGTCCATATTGTAATCTTATTTTGTAACCATATTTTATAATAATATAGATCATATTTTTGAGACTTTGCTATGTTCTTAACACTGTGCTAAGCACTTAACATACTTTGCTTATTATCATGGCTCTATGAAGTGAGAGATATTATTAACTATTATAAACAAGATAATGAAGCTGTGGGTTACAAATGTTAAGTATTCACCAAGGGTCACGTGCCTGGTAGTTACAGGTTGCATATAGGATTCTAAGAAGTCAGAGTCCAGACCACAGAGTGCCTTGTAGGCCATGCTAGGAAGTTTGGAGTTTATCTGGATATAATGGAAGCCATTTAAGAATGTTATGATTAGTACCACTGCTGGAGAAGGACTAGAGAAGAGTAAAGCTAGGGATGAAAGGTAGATGTGGATGTCATTCAGATGAGAGATTATAGTTAGATGGTAGCACCCCACTGCCACCACCACCACCAGAGGCTTTCAGAATTGCAGAGCCTCAATTTTGAAAGTAATTGCATCCCATCTTCACTATGAAAACCTTGGAAAACTCCTTTTTAGGTTTCAAGATCTCTAAGAACTTTTAATATGAAGAAGATTTTTTTCCTTAGTCTGGTAGCAAGGGAGATTTGAGTATCTGCTCCTGGTCATTTGCCACCTTTTCTATTATAGCCCGAATTAAAAATCTCAAGCAGAGTCTGTGTAAACAACCAGGAGCTCCCACTAATGGCTAACAATAATAATAGCTAATACATATAAAACACATCAGCTGTAGGGTGTGGTGATGAGACAATATCTAGCTACTACCACCATCATAGTCACTTTAAAAACCTTTGATATTTTTTGAACTAGAGAACAACAGGAAAAATGATATTTTAGGATATCTATCTTCTTAAGAATTGGAAGGAGTTGGATTTGGAGAGAAAGAACCAAATATTAGCCCTGTCTTCTCAAAAACAGAGAGTTCCTCTGACAACCACATGTGAGCATCCCCACATTTATTCCATTGTGTTATAATTTACATCTTAGGATCCTTGCATGGACGCACTGGCTGAAATGAGTAAGTATAATTATTAAGTCAAAAATGCTAACCTCACCTCTTCTTTTGCATAGAATGGAAAATGAACAATTGGCCAAAAGTGTCCTGGATGAAGTGTCGAGTAGCCTTAGCAACTACTACTTTGACTTCCAGGGGGCCAGGATCATCACTGGCCAAGAAGAAGGTGCCTATGGCTGGATTACTATCAACTATCTGCTGGGAAAATTCACTCAGGTGAACACTTCATAGCAGTCATGAAGGTGGCTTCCTGGGGGCCAATGCTGTTGTCATCTGACCGTATTTGGGACACTGACCAGAATCAATGATTGATTAATTAATTAATTAATTAATTGACTTCCACAGTTGTAAGGATCACCTGAGGCAATAGTACTTCTACTACAACTGAAGAATATGGAAGCCATGTCTTCATGTTAGGGAAACAGAAAGAAAAATAAAGTTGATCATTAAAAATAAGAATACCCAGTATTTGCCTAGTGCTATGTGTCTTGTGCTATGCTTTTTTTTTTTTTTTTTTTTTTTTTTTTTTGTTATTGGGTCAATCTCTG